GGAGCCTGTGCTCCGCAAGGGGAGAGGCCACAACAGTGAGAGGCCCGCGTACCGCAAAAAAAAAATAATAATAATAATAATTTTCCAGAAGAATAAAGGTGATACAAGCTAGTCCTCCATGAATGTAAAGAAGTTTCTTAAGACAACTGAACAGCAGAGAGTTTAATATTGCATCTATGTGGGGCCGGTATTCACTGTTGCTGTTGAAAGGCAGGTCCACATTCTGTGTAGGGTTGACATTTTCCAATAAAATCTACAATATGTGCCTGAATCATAGATGATGGCTCAAACTTTGCCCTGAAGTGGGCCAGTGTAGTACCTTCAGACAGGTTCAGATTTTCTTCACTAGTTCATAGGGTTCTATGGTTTGGTGGCTTAGCAGAGAGTGGCAGCAGTTTTAACTTGAACATACTTTAAAATAATCACACCAGTGGCCTGTTGTATCCATTAAAAAATAAAACCTAGTAGGGTACTATCAAATGACTAGTTTTAGCAGTATACCTTTCTTACATGCCTTCAAAAATCGATTTAAAAATATATCTCGGGGAAACTAAGTTTATCTGTTATACAGAATGGTTAGAAATAAGCCAAATATTGGAAGACCTCTACTAAAAATAATTGGGTTTTAGAGAAGTTGCTTTTAATTGTTCTGATAGAAAATATCTATCTATTTTTCACAATAACCAAAATGAAACAGCGCAAATGTCCACAATGGATAAATGGATAAAAAAGATGTGGTACATATATACACAATGGAATATTATTCAGCCATGGGAAAGGAGGATATCCTGCCATTTGTGACAACATAGAGGGACCTTGAGCACATTTTGCTAAGTGAGATGAGTCAGTCAGAGAAAGACGAGTACTGTATGATACCCCTTATACCTAGAACAGAAAAAAATCAAACCTGTGAAAAACAGGAAAATGGTGGCTACCAGAGAATGGGAGGTGGAGGATAAGATTGATAGTACAGGGCTTCCCTGGTGGTGCAGTGGTTGAGAGTCTGCCTGCCGATGCAGGGAACAGGGAACACGGGTTCGTGCCCCGGTCCGGGAAGATCCCACATGCCGCGGAGCGGGTGGGCCCGTGAGCCATGGCCGCTGGGCCTGCGCATCCGGAGCCTGTGCTCCGCAACGGGAGAGGCCACAACAGTGAGAGGCTCGCATACCACAGAAAAAAAAAAAGATTGATAGTACAAACTTGTAATAATAAATAAGTCACAGGGATCTAATACACAGAATAATGAATAGAGACAATAATATTGTAGTATAATTATGTAATTGATAAATATCACTACAGCGGCAACCATGTTACAAGATATATATATATCAAAGTAGTAGACTATATACATTAAATTTGTACGGTGTTACATATCAAATTTATCCAATTAAAAAACAGGAAAAATTAGATTTTTTTTCTATTGACCCTTCAAGGTATGGCAGTAAAATTTTAAGAGTGCAGAGGCTGCATTTTAGACAAGAGAATAGTAGTAAATCCTTTCAAAAGCACAAGTATTTGCATTCATTCAAACAGATTATGACAAACATTTCTAATAATAAATATTTTTCTATTTTTAGTTTGCTGCATTTAAATGGGTACTTACAGATAACAACAAAACCAGATATGTTAGGTTGCTGGCTGTATAACTTACTAATCATACAACAGAGTCTTAGTTGTTTGTTAGTAATAATTGAATTTATCATATATAATCTGTGCTAAAATGATAAAATTGGACTAAATAATCTCCCATAGGTTGGTCATCTAAAATTCTAGATTTTCTGTGCCAGTGTCTTAGCCTTCAAGCTTGGATTTTGAGTTACTCTTCTCTTAAGGGTTTCATAATTGCTTCCTCAGCCACTTTGCTTCTCTTAACAATGAAAAACTTGTTTGTTATTTATAAATAAAATTTGAAATGACATTACAAGTTCAACAACTATCCTAAAACTAATTTCAAAAACATGAAAAAGTACTTAGTAAGATTTCTGTATTCTTCACTTCTTAATGTTCTGTGCCAATTTCTGTAGAAATCTATGTAAATCTGTTTAGCACATTAATTTAAGCATTTTTACTATTAAGAATAAATTAACTTGTTATAAAATAAATAAAAGAAAGAGTTAAGGCTTCTTGAAAAAAAATACAGCCTTCGTTTGACATTCTAGATATTGAAAAATAATCATTGTGAAAAGAGTGAACATTCATGTAAAGTTTCATTTCTAGTTTATTTACCTTAGGACTCTATATTCCTACTGTGACTGACAGAGATTATTTCAAGGTTAAGTAACTTTCAGGAGGTTTGAAATAAAAATGAAGAAAAAGAAGTCCAAACAAACTCAGATTTATTTTTGTTCTTTTTTAAAAGCTAATCATTAAAAAATTAAAAAGAAAAAATAGTCAAGTAAGAGATACTTTCTGAAAGTTTTCCTCTATTATGTGGAAAACATTTGAATATACATAACTTATTGAAGCCCTACTATACCTAGAACTTGAGAGTTATGAAGAAAACTGAGTGACCTGGAATCCTAAGCAAAAATTAATTTTAGTGAAAGAAAAGTTATTTTGATGCTAAAACTGCTAATGTACTTAACAGAATTATACAAAAGAAATATACACTTTACAAGAAGATATATAGAAAAGCAAACGATGGAAGGTAAGGAAGGTTATTTTGAAATATATTTTTTGTGGTAAAGAGTTACTTTATTGTTTTTTAATTTTTACTTTAAATGTATATTGTACCTCCTTTCAAAGACTTTACTACCAGTAAGCTGTTTCAAGCATCTGAATAACAATACTGTGTGGAAGGTAACCCATTTTATTACCTACATTACAGGGAAGAAAATTGAAAGAAAGTTGTCTGTAGAAGAAATGTATTTTGTTACATAGAATAAGCAACTATAGAACAGAAAGCAGCTTCCTGACATTAGTTCTACTTGTATCTAATTTGTTTAGTATATTTACTTTGTGCATTTTCTACATAAATAGAATAGTTGCATTTTTAGTAATGAGTCTGAATACTCATGTATTTAAAAAGCTAATCATCAATATTTAGAGGAAAAACAACATTGAAGGTACATGAAATATGTTTTTATTTTCTGTCAGTGGACTGAAACATAAAGGTGAATGAAATGACCTGAATTTCAACATTACATCCAGTTTTCATTGTAAAGCAAACCTAGATTGTGTCAGAACCTTGAAAAAATCATGGGAACTGTTTCAGAGGGGAATCCCAACCTTTATTTTAAGGGAGGGGGAGATGTGTTGGAGGGGGAAAGCTCATATAACTATGAAAAGGTTTATGGCTTCTGCTATGATCCCTGAGGACATTTGAACTAAAAGAAACATCAGATTGGGTAGTTTTCAGTTTTTGTTTTCAACCTCTTCTTATTTGTTTTACAGTGGATGGAACTGAGGTTCAACACTCTGGCAAAATGCCCACACTGCAAAAAAATGTAAGTTCTGTACCACTGGAAATAATGTTGGGAAATATTTGAGAACAATTTAAAGAGTTCAGAATTCTCACTTAAGTAAATTTTGACTTTAAGACATACTATGGGATGAATGTATGGTTAACATGTTTATGCTTTTCAAGACTAAAAAAAAAGACGTCTTTGGACTGATTAATATATTCCATTTTGAAACTGAAATGATTGGGATTATCTATTCTCTAAAGGTAAATCAATTTACCTTTAGAGAAAGTGAAAATTACTAAAATTATCAGTAACCTGGTAATGATTTTCAAATGTGCTAAGTGGTTATAATCTGTTGCAAATAATCTAAAATTTATATTTTTTAAATGGACTGTATAAAAAAAATGGACTGTAATCTTGGAGAAAACCAAATTTTGGGAGGTTTGTAATTAGGAAGTTGGATGGCAAAGTTTTTATAATTATTTATCTCTCTTCAGTCAATTTCTCTGTATTCCTAAATGGTGTACCTAAGGAAAATAACAAAAGGCAATATAAAAATGGGAGAAACTAGAAGACATTTTGATTAAAGACATTTTATGCCATCTGTGTTGGGGGGCCCCAAGTCACCCTAAGATTTTTTGACTTTCTAGGAGAACTAATAGGACTTAGTATACAGTTATACTCACAGCTTTATGGTGAAAGTATGCAAAAAAAATCAGCAAAAGAAAAAGGCATGTGGGGCAAAATCTGGAGGAAACCAGGAGCAAGCTTCTAAGAGTCTTCTCTCTGTGGAGTCATAACAGGACTTCATTCCTCCAGCAATGAATTGTTACAACATATGTGAAATGTTTTTGACCAGAGAAGCTTATTAGGTCTAATTGGAGCTGGTCAAATAGGCACCTGCTGCATAGCTCATGCCACAATTCCATATTCCCAGAAGGAAAGCAGGTATTTGGCATAAGCCATATTGGTTGTACAAGTAATTTAGGTATAGCAACCCACTCTTATTAGTAAGGGAATAGTTAGAACTTTTTTGAAATCTAAGTTCCCAGGTGTCAGCCAAGGGCTTACCTTACAAGCCAACTTGTCTAAGGATAGCAGTGTTAGGCCTGCTATACTCTTTTCTGCACAGCATCTATTTTTTTTTTTTCTTGCGGTATGCGGGCCTCTCACTGTTGTGGCCTCTCCTGTTGGGGAGCACAGGCTCTGGACGTGCAGGCTCAGCGGCCATGGCTCACGGGCCCAGCCGCTCTGCGGCATGTGGGATCTTCCCGGATTGGGGCACGAACCCATGTCCCCTGCATTGGCAGACGGACTCTCAACCACTGCGCCACCAGGGAAGCCCCCACAGCATCTATTTTGATAATAAAATTTTAATTCAAAAACTACTGTTTTCCACTTACATGTGTGGAAAGTAAGCAAAGGAAATTAGACTGGAATGTTTTGATAATTAATATTTAAAATAAAAAATATCAGCTCATAGTTACATTTTTGTGATCCTTAGAATAATATAATACTATATCTATTTTGAGAGTAAAATAATCCTGACAGTGGTTTATAGGAGGAAAGAATTAAAAAGTGTCTGAGAAGTAGAATATATGTAACAAAATATCGCCATTTATTTGTGCTAGATCTGATTCCAACTAAATATAATCCTGTGGGAATAACTTCTTTACAGCACATTTCTAGCTTCAAAGGAACAGATATTTCCTTTTTTATTTATTTGTGAAATTAATAATATGAATTCTTAACTTACCTGAATCCAGGACAAGTCTGTACATGGAGAAGCAAAGTGGATAACCCAAAATAAGTGCACAGAAAAATATATACTTCAGGGACATAACAAATACATGTGTGTGTGAATATGTCTGTGAATAATCCATATTTCTGTATGTTATCTGTATTTTCACAAAAATGAAGACAATTAAATTGCATATACCTTTATGAAGAACATTAAATTACATTTAAAAAATCTTTTAGAAAATAAAAAACTTCTAATGATTAGCAGATTGTGTGCTAAGCACAGTGATTGTTGATTTGTGTACACATATATATTAGCTGTAATCTTTACAACAATCCTGGATAGCAAGAATTATTATCCTCATTTTATAGATGAGGAACTGTTAGAAAGGATAAGGATTTTGCTCAAGTGATTTGCTTGGTTGGTTAATTATTTTAGAACAATGGCAATATTTTGCTAATAATAAAGAAATATTGAATGTCTAGATATTCTACCATTGGTTAAGGTATCACAAGACTGTATTAATGTGGAGAAGAATTTATCAATTAAGGAACAACTTGCTTTGAAATTCACATGAAATAAATCAGCTTAAATATCATTCTTAGAGAAATGTGTGTAGAATTGGAATCACATGCTGAGCTTGGGAGGACTTAGGGCATGCATTACTTATGTGAGCAAAGATGCTGTTATTACGTGAACACTCATGGGTCATATCTAGATTTCTTTTCTTTTTGAATGTTTTTCTTAAACTGATGAGTCATCTGTTGAAGTAAGACTCTGAGATTTTTATTTCTTTAAACTCAAATAGCAAATGTCCTAAAATTATTTTTAACTTATAAAAGTTACTAAATCATTGCTATGAAACTAGCGTGTTATTTTTATATCCACAAAACAAGTGGGGAATACCTTCCCCCAGGGCTCCAGAGACCAAGAAGCATTTTTTATCTCACTGTTTTTTACGCATGCAATCACTGAGGCTATTGTAGCTGAAGGTGAGGTTTCTCTTTCAATTGGGCAGCTTGTAGCCACTGCTGGGCACAAGATGTAGTCCTAGCATTCTGAAATGACAACTTGGACGATATTTCCATGAAGATGTTTTAATGGATTTAAGATTAGTAGACATGATGATTTAATCCATGATAATTATCAATGAATATCATTTCTCCTACATCACTGAGGTACTTTGGGGATCTCTTCCAGTCATTTTAATCAATAGCAGACTCATTCTCAGAAGTTATCCTTTTATTTTTCTGTTTAGTGCTTTCTTTTATAATTATTCATTAATTCAACCTCCTGTGCTAGGTACTAGGTGCTTAAAATAAAGATATAACCTTGCCTTCAAGGGACTTAGTCTTGTGGGTATACAGAAGAGAATAGACCATTACAATAAAGTTTTAAGCACTTTGGAAGGGTATACCCAGCATGCTCTGCTCTGAAGGGCCCCTAATCCAGACTGGAGGGAAAGGGAATGTGAATGAAGGCTTCCAGGAAGGAGGGATGTTAAAGATGACTTGGAGTGATATGAAAAAAGGGCCAATGGTTCCTTGTAGAAGGAGCAACCTGTGCAAAGGTATACAGGTACAGAGGAGTCAAAGTATAGGTGTGCTATGAAGGAAATGGAATAGACAGGGTTTAATGTGAAGGGACGAGAGAGAGATTGGGGTCAAGAATGACCTTGTATCTGAGAGGCTGTAGAACCATTCACTAAGATAGGGAATGAAAGATCTAGAAGAACTGTGTCCAGCAGAGAGATGATAAGCTCATTTTGAATGTAGGTATAGAGAGACTCTTAGGTTTTCTAGATTGGCTAGATCATCATCCCTTGAAATTCAGATCCATCTACCTGCTTTTCAAACCACCAGTCTTGCATCAATATGGCCATGGCTTCTTCCTTCCTTTACCAAGACAACTGAGAGCTGGAAAAATTCTATGTTGATTAGCTCTTTACAGATGTAGAGCTTTAGATTTCAGCTAAACCCTTGCTTGATATTCCCTATTTAAGTGTCCTTGATTAACTCTCTCCCCCATTCCTCAAAGTGGTTATCTCCAGATATTTTCTGTTCCTCTTAAACCCCCATCCCTCATACCCTCTTCTCTATCTCAGCAAATGAGTTGCCTTCTTTCTGTCTCTCTCAGATGTTTAAGGCTATCTGTGAACTCCCTCATCTTCACACTTCCTACCTCTAAACATTTTTTATATCTATGCTCACTTTATTTCTTCTTAGAAGGATGCATGTCTCTTCCTTTCATGGCATATCTCTTTAGTTCATCATGGCCCTGCATTTCTCCAGGAGTAGAGTAGAATTAGCATCAGTCCCCACTAGGCCGCTGAAATTTGCTCTGACAAAATTCATGTCCCAATTGCAAATTTTATTTTTTAAATTTATTTTTAATTGAAGTTTAGTCGAATTACAATGTTGTTATTACTGCTATACAGCAAAGTGATCCAGTTATACATATATATATATATATATACATTCTTTTTCATATCCTTTTTCATTGTGGTTTATCTCAAGATATTGAATATAGTTCTCTGTGCTATACAGTAGGACCTTGTTGTTTATCCATTCTATATATATCAGTTTGCATCTGCTAATCCAAACTCCCAATCCAACCCTCTCCCCACTTGGCAACCATCAACCAGTCTATTCCCTATGTCCCTGATTCTGTTTCTGTTTCATAGATAGGTTCATTTATGTCATGTTTTAGATTCCACATATAAGTGATATCATATGGTATTTGTCTTTCTCTTTCTTATATACTTCACTTAGTATGGTAATCCCTAGTTGCATCCATATTGCTGCAAATGGCATTATTTCATTCTTTTCTATGGCTGAGCAGTATTCCATTGTATATATGTACCACATCTTTTCTTTTTTAATATTTATTTATTAGGCTGCATCAGGTCTTAATTGTGGTGCACAGGCTCTAGAGTGCTTTGCAGCATGTGGGATCTTAGTTCCCTGACCAGGGATTGAACCTGTGTCCCTTTCATTGGAAGGTGGATTTTTAACCACTGGACCACCAGGGAAGTCCCTGTACCATATCTTCTTTATTGATTCATCTGTCAATGTACATTTAGGTTGTTTCCATGTCCTGGCTATTGTGAATAGTGCTGCTATGAGCATAGACGTGCATATATCTTTTTGACATAGAGTTTTGTCAGGATATACGCCAGGAGTGGGATTGCTGGGTCATATGGTAGTTCTATTTTTAGTTTTCTGAGGAGACTCCATAATGTTTTCCAAAGTGGCTGCACCAAATTACATTCCCACCAACAGTGTAGGAGGGTTCCCTTTTC